TGATGTGATCAGATGGCAAAATGAGAACATGGCATGTAATGTTGTGACAAGACAAAAAACAGTGAGAGAGGATGATGAGAGAGAGAAAGAGAGAATGCAAACAGTTTTAACTCTTTTACCTACTACTGAAAGTAAACTGAAAAATGAAGTCATCACAAAACAGAAAGATGGTATTACTTTAAGTAAATGTTGTCAACTGGCAAATTCTTCAGCGAATTCTACCAGTATAATACGACGGGTTGAAGTACTTTCCAGCAACCCAGAACCATCTTACCCCATCCTAGGAGACATTGTGTGCAAACTAGTTGATTCTCCTTATAAACTTCCCTCAGACGAACAACTGTTAACTGAATTCTACAGTAAAGGTTTAAGCATTCGAAAGCAGACTGTGCTACCCAACAAATGTAAAAAGAAATCAGTGACATCTCCTACTGCACAATTAGATCCCACTACTAAAATAGAAGATGTTCTCACAGATAACAACAGTTTGAAATGGAAAGCAATTCCATTGAACATAGGGAAACAGATTGTACACTTTCTAAAAACTTCCACATTTGCTTTATTAACCATATTTATTTCAGTTGTTGCCACCTACATCATACATAAATGTACTGTCATTGGTGATGTTGTAAACTATGAAACAACATTTACACCAGTTGTTAAAAGTATAAAACAATTTGGACTGACAGTCAAACTTTCTAAAATTAAAAAGGTTGTTGGGAAAATTGATCTTTTAGGGAATAATTTTTCAAAGGGAACACTTATCAGTGATCACAAAATTATTTTCAAAATTTTGCACCTACAAGTAAAAGGGTATTCCGAAGCCTACTTGGGACCATCAATCACAAAAAGAAATTAATCCTAAATCTCTGTTAAAAACTGCATGTGCCAATGCAATTCAGTGGAATACAGAACTTGACCAGGCCTTCGCCAGAATCAAGACTCTATTCTCCAGCCCTCCAATTTTAAAATTACCTAACCTAAAATTACCTTATATCCTCAGATGTGATGCAAGTGGAACGGCAATCGCAGGTTGCCTAATGCAACTTGAAGGCGATATCCAATATCCGACATGCTACATCAGTAGAGAGCTTACCCCAGCAGAGGAAAGGTACGCACCGTTGGAATAATGGATCTATTGCAGTCGTCTTTTGCATCTCTAAACTACAAAGGTATCTTTTGGGACGACCTTTCTTACTGCAAACGGATAACAAACCACTGCTGGTTATAAAAACAGGAGCGCCCAAGAACAACAGAATCGCACGGTGGGCAATGCTCGTCCAGACTTACCAGTTTGAAATAACACATATTGAAGGTGCACAGAACAACTTAGCTGACCTTCTCAGCAGATTGTAACATTTTTCCCTTTTTAAGTGCTTACAGTTGTACTACAGTATAAAAACACCAGTATCATAAATAATACCATTATGTTGAAGTTTACAGTTAACAGTACCTACAGACTGAGTTATTCAGACAACTATGTCCATAGTCTGAACTCTACAATGTTACATATAAACTAAATTCGACACATAACGGTGTGAAGAGATAAAATCCTACAGTAATGAAAAACTAACTACTACAGTTATCAAGTAGTAAAGCATTGAATTCCTACAATTTCAAAGACTTGAATTTTACAGTCAAGAGTTCCAATATACTTAATTGGACCATTACCAGCTCCATCACAGATTTCATATACAGCTGTGCTTGGCACTACTGAACCACAATTAATTGGTATTCTTCATATTTGATTATGCATCTACATTCAAGTCAAGAAATGACATTTTGTTGCTTCTGAAAGTTCTACTAAAACGGCCATCCAAGAAATAACATTGGTCAAGTGCTTGTAAATTACAGCAGTGAAGCTTTCACCATATAAATATCTACACAAAACAAGTTTGCATAACTAGCATAAACTTTTGAACGATCAAGTGGACATTATAATATGTTAGTTCCAGTGTGCAGATACAAGTTATCATTGATTTGGTGCCACATTACTCAATGATACAACCGAAAGTGCCAATTTAGAACATTCAATCGGTGTGAATTTGAATTTTTCTGTTCCAGAATGTAACTTATTTAGTATCATACTCAAAGTTAAATCTGAAACCTGCCATTTATGCAGGCCATGCAATAACATTCCTATATAACAATTGATATGCTCCAATGGCCGGATTCAATTTAATACTGATGTGCAGTGCAGCAGAAATTAACAGTTCTCAATATACTTGAAATATTTCTACAACACGTACCTCTCCTAAGAAACATTTACCTTAATTCAACAGAACTTTTAAGAATTTCCATATTTTGACTATGTTGACTCCAAGATCAACCTGAACATGGAAATATTTGGTATTCCACTTCCGAAAATACCAAAGTATAAACTGTGTGAATATATTTCTGGATGAACAGTTTTCAATGGATCAGGACGTCATGCAAATCATGGATCAAGGTTCTTCAAAGAGTGTGAGAGGTATGAAAGTGAAATAAAATTGTCTGCAAGGTTATGTGACATGGCATTACTATATGCGTGTATTCTATATTGCATACACTATGTAATATTTCTTGGGTAATGCATATAGCATTTATAATGTGCATTAACATATATGTTATGTGTGATATTTGTTGTCTAATATATAGGTCATATTTGTTATGTACTGTATTTGCGAGTTCATATGTGGTGTGCAATGTATATGTATGTGTGTACGTCTTATTTGGTGTATTATATATATACATATTATACATTTCATATTTACACTTCATTTGGCATTGAAATGTTTTGGTTTATAATTATGATGTATATGTATACTTTATTTATTTTGGATTTGTAACATTTTTCACTTAGGATGGTGAAAAAAAAAATTTTTCTCTTCTATTTTGTTCTCATAAGTCTATTTGTTCATTGTACATTAAAGATTATGTTTGTACTCAGCAGGGGTATGCCTTAAGTGTGTCTAGGTAGTTAAGTCTGTTAGCTGGCCTACCTAGCAAGCCATATTAAATATACAGAGTAAAGTAGGTCTCTGACAGTGAACAATATAGATGGTGACTACGTATACCATGGACAGACAGAATAAAAAATTTTAAGAACTCCCTTAAATGAAGCACTGATTACTATTTTAAGGCCTCAAAAAGCCACAAACCCAGCCCTTTAGGTTTTTGCTAAAACCCCAACAGAATTGCATTTCTGGCTCACTGAGTGGTTAGTTGAAGAAAATCACAGTTAACAAAATCAGTTCTTTGCACTAATGCAGTCACTTAACAAGACTGGGAATGGACACATTTACTTTAAAAAAATAGCATTCAGAGGGGTTTCCTTGTGTTTCCTACTTTATGTTTTTAGTCTTTTCTATAACTGACTACTGTGTGTGTATTCTAGATGTTTTGAAAGCGACTAAGACCAGACGATAATTTATCACAAACACCAGAGAGAGGCGGGAATAATTTTTACTTTATCCTGTTAAAAGAGAAATATGTAAACATGTGACCAGTTGAAAGATCTACAGAAACAGAGACAGAGGAATATAACAAGAGAAGACGATTGACAGCTTTCTGTCTCTGCATGGACTTGAACCCACTCATGTTGTTGGAGACCACAAGATGTTGAGAAGCAGGATCACCTATGCCAGACAACACAGCACTTAATCATTATGATGATTACAATGATTGGTGGCATAGGGGTTAGCACACTTAAGTATGTGATTCTACTTTGAGATTAATTGTGTTCAACTAGTGATCTGTTCAACTGCTGCTTACATCTAAGATGATCTGCATTTATAGTGTCAGACAGTGCTGGCACTTCTGACTGCTGCCTTATGCACTTAATGCATGTGTGTGCTGCTGGATTTGCTAAGACTGCAATCTGTGTTCATTTTTTTTTTGCTCACAAAGAACAGTGATGGACATTAAGTGTGGTTTTCATTGGCACAGCAACAGAGCACCTATGGAGTGACCTGTGTGTTACAAAGTTGGGACTGCGATTACCTGATTACCTGAAACAACTGATTCACAAAAATTCTGTTGGAAAACATGCATCTTGCACTATTACCATTTATTGCAAAAGCATCCTAGTTCAGTAGCCATGTATTATGTATGTCGGATCTAGCCAACTAAAAGGTTACATGAAAGATTTATTTTACTGTCATACACAGGAAGCATATTTGTTCCTGTTTATTCATTCATGCACACTGTCGGTGCTCTTTATTTCCTTTCCCATGACCTTTCCAAAGCAGTTGACATTTAGTGTTAACATTTCAGTATCATAAAATTGGTAGACCTTGTGTAAGAGATAACAATGTCCTATTCATACTTACTCTATGAACCGATACAGAAATTCTGTTATCTTCATATTGTGGGCAACATTTTTTTTAATGTTTGGGGGCTACTTTTCATTTCAAAAATCGCTGACAGTCAACTTTAGACAAACTAAATGTGAGGAATACATAATAAAAGCTACTACCACTGTGGGCTACCCCTCACCTTATCTCCCATTGTGTTCAACCATCAGGGCAAGTTTTTCACACCTTGTTATCCACCTATTTTAACTGTCATGTTGCCCGGCTCGCTAGGTCAGTAAGTTCAATCTGACTGCATGGTGACCAGGTGATGAACTCCTTGTGGTCCGGGTTCACGTCTGGAGGTAGGCAGAAAAGCCACATTTCTCCCAGATTTACGGTATCTATCATGGAATCAAGGCCGAAGAGTTGCGACATCCATTATACCGAGCCAAAGGGTTAACAACTTACGGTTTTTGGATAATAAAAAAGAAGAAAAACAGACAGGTTAGTGTTGCTGACCTCAAATGTACATGAAAAGGTTTACTTTGTCTAGGTAGATTCCATCAAAGGTAAAAGTTCTATCTACCTAAGACCCCCTTATTTCCCTTGACCAAGCCCTGTAGTAATAAACAGGCAATCAATCTGAAAAAACACTAACACAGAAGAATCCAAAACCTGCAACTTAACACACAAATAACAGAAGGCACACAAACGTTTCATCTTTACCAGACTATCATCCCCAGGAGATGGGTCTATGTACTGGAGGCCAAAGTAGTCTTTCTCCACTAGCTCCAGGTGATCAAACACTTGATCCAGCAGTTGTTGAGCTTTGCCACGTTTCTGAAATTGGTTATGGTTTTCTACATCATACTGATGGAGCATGAAGCAAGCAAGGAAATATAAGCCATAGCACAGCAATGTGCCAGTTACAGAATGTATAAGTAAAAAAAAAAACTTCAAAAAAGACGGTGCAAGTCAGGAATTATTTGGGGGAAAGGACATTCTTCTTTGTCTTCTTTCCCTTTTATTCCCCAATGAAACATAGCCTCAAGCAACTCTCACCAAGTCGTTCTATCCTTCTCTATTGCACACAGATCCCCCTCCCCATCTTTTTAACTTCATCTCTAGCTCCCTTCTCCATGTGTTTTTAGTCTGCCTTTATGTCTATGGTCCTATGGTTTCAATGCAAATACATTCTGGCAAATACTCTCAGGTTATCTCGACATGTGTCCTAGTCAATGCCAGCACCATTTCTTCACATTTTGGTACACTGAAACTTGTTAACTTGTTTAGTTCTCTCCCAAAACTCAACATTAGTGATTCTATCATACCATTTAATTCCCTCTATTCTGTGCAGCAAGAATTAATGAATGTTTGTGGTTTATTAGCAATTGCCTCAGTTGTTCTCCATGTTTCCACTTCACACAGCAGTACTGATTTGATATTAAGAGTTAAACAATTTAGGTTTAGAATAAGTTTTAATTTCTTCTGACCTCCACAAATTTCCTAGCGCTGTGAAAGCTCCTCTTGTCTTTTGTATTCATATTTCAATATCTCTTTCAGTTCCCAACAAACCCCCTGCCCCCACCCCTCATCTTTATCAACATTATTTCCCAAATAGGTGTACGAATATACGTCTTAGAGTGGGATATCATTAAGAGAAAACACATTACTATTTGGCTGCTTTATTCTCATTATCTTTGTCTTTCCATTACAGACTTTGAGACCTAGTTCTTGCAATCTCATGTCAAGTATGTTTAATTTATCTTGCATGTAATTCCGTGATCTGATTTAATTTGTTACAAGAACCAACATCACAGCATGCAGGGCATCGCATAAGCACTCTGTGCCCATCTTCAGCAGCCAACGCAGAGTTTCAATACCAATGGTGCCAGTAGCAGTCTGGTTTTATGTTCATCTTGCCTTTCCTCTAAACAGCGAGTATCGACCAGAGCTATTCGTCACTCTTTGCTGCATTACTCTCACCAGACTGTGGTGATCAATTAGCTGTTCTAAATTTGGAAACGTGCTCCCATAAGGTGATAACCACATCTGCCTTATCATGTTTCAATATTCCACCAAGCTGGAATATAGAAACAGAAAAAGGCTGACGTGGTTATAGCCTTATGGAAGTACGTGCACAATTAAATTTCTTGAGTGGGACAGAAGCAAAGGACTTCACAGGCAAATAGGTATAAATAAGTACAAGTACTGGAAACAAAAATTAATGGAATATATTGTAAACTCTGGATTTTTCATATGAAATAAATATAAAATACTACTATTGCAAACAGCTACCAGGCATTATGAGATTGTTTATGTTTATGTGTAAATTATGAATAATTCCTCTGCTGCCCTTTTTTTCCCCATCTCTTGTTAAAGCATAAGCTGTTACTCAACTCAAACTCAAGCAGAGTGCTCTAACTTTTGCCATCTGATTGAGAACATCACAATTTTGGGGGGAGGGTTGCTTCTGAATCCTTAGACTGATCATATCTACTAACACTATGCAACAACATATCTTAAATGTATTCTCTCCTTCAACTACACAAGCGGAATAAATGCCGCCAGTTTAAAAAAGTACATATTAGCTTATCCTTCTTCACTTCCTAAACATGTGAGAGAGACTCCTACAAGTACAGCCAGTTTATGTTTTTCTATCCCTGGTGATGGTAATCCAATCTGAGAAAATGGGTTCTCTTTTAAATCTAGTTGTATATTGTATTTTTATCTTTTGTGGACACCCTGCATGTACAATACTTTGAGTTGTTGTTTTTTTTTTTTAAATCCCCTCAGAATACGTCTTTTCTGGTCTGTATCTGTTTTCGTTTTTATTTTTACTTTTCACATATGACTAAGCCATGTCTTACTTTTGGATTTCAAAAAAAAAGTACACATATACACTGAGATCTGCAGCTGTGAACTGACCAGCATACTTGTCTGTCAACATAGTTTTGAAGATAGAAATTTCCTTTTTTCTTTAATCTACTGTGTCAAGCCAATCTAAAATTGATACCAGGGAAAGAGTTCAATACTGGCTTTATCATTTACTGATTGCCAACAAAAAGTACAAGACTTTAATACTCAGACCAGCTTCAGGGAATACAAAAATATCCTCAAATTTTTTAATACCTTTTTTTTTACTTTACCAAACATTCACATTGTTCAGTTTGGCTATTGACTGGCTGATGAAAGAAGTTACACAAGATAGAAAAATAAGGCATCAGGTGGTCACTCACCTCTGTTTTAGAGGATTTGGACTATGCAGATGACATCAGCCTTATATCAAGCTGTCATGTGGACACTCAGGAAAAGATTGAAAGACTTTCAACAACGGCCCTTAAGATAGGACTCAAAATAAACACCAGTAAAACTAAAGTAATGAGAAATAATTTCAAAACAGAAAATCCAATTATCTCAAATGATGAAGCAACAGAGGAAGTTGAAGAATTTATATTTATAAAGTTACTCCAGATGGAGATTCTGAAAAGGATGTAACAAAGAATGAACAAAGCAAATCAAGCATTTGAAATATCTGGAAGTCAAAGGGATTTAGTTTAAAGACAAAACCCAGAATATACGAGAGCAACATTTTAGGAATACTATTATACAACAGTGAATGTTGGAAAATGACAGCGGGAATTACGCATAAGCTTGAGACTTTTAAAAATAAATGTTTAAGGAGAATTCTACGAACATTTTGGCCAAACTAGATCACAAATGAAGAACTGAGGAGGAAAACAGAATGCCTTGTGACACTCTGGCAAAAACAGCTCTCTGGTTGACAGCAGATGGGAAAAGGAGACGTGGACTATCTAAGAAAACCTGGAGAAGGACAACAGAACGGGAAATGAAGGAATGTAAACTGACATGGGATACCATAGGCAGAAAAGCAGCAGACCGGCAGCAATGGAGATCCCTTGTGAATACCTTATGTGTCAACAGCGACATGAAGAGGGTATAGATAGATACATTCACATTAATTATATATATATATATATATATAGCTAATGGACTGCAGTGGCTTCAGTTGAAACCATCTCGTATCTCGGCAGTAATGGTAAAGACAAGAAAACAATAAGATGAAATAAAGAATATTTACATCAACTTCAAAGGTCTCCATGGTGTCGTCCAGGAAGTGGACAACACAGTTGACTGTCTTAGGAGTGCGGTCTTGTAAATGCGCCATTTCAGACGCTCGTACATTGTAACTACCGCTGGAGACCAGTTTCATGGACATGACTCCCGGCTCTGAAAATACATGAAAAAACACAAGCACATTATATCTTCAATTTAATAAATAATTACAAAATACAAAAAAAGATTCACATACTGTGCTGCATGGGATAAAGAAAAGGGTACATTCAGTGGCGTAGCAAGGTCAGGTGGTCCCTAGTGTGGAAAAATTTACTGCCACACCCACCCCTCTCCCTTTTTCTCAGTGAGGAAACCCACACCCCCCCCCCCCCCCCCCCTTTTTTTTTTTACACCAGTGGGTAAACAGTAAAGCTGTTTATTGTACTGCTGAAAACAAAAAAAAACATTTCTAAGAATGAGCTTAGAAAACAACAATTTCAAAACACAACTGACCAACATGGTCTTCCCCTTTGCTGTTCATCTTGTTATCTTTATTGTTTTTGTTTTTCAGAGGGATGTGCTATGGTAATCTGTGTGCCTCGGAGATCACTTCAGCCGACGTTGCTGCATTTGTGCTTGCTTCAACCCAAGTTATTAGGCAATATCTACCCTGTTGCCACAGAACTGGCGGAGCCATATGTGATTAAATCATGTGTGCAACGACTGATCTGTTGTAAATGCTGCTTCCATCGATGATGAACTGCAGATCTGCTGTCGAATTATTTGTGTTGGCACTTTGATGACTGCCTTTTACATTTAATGCATGTATAGGCTATAGGGTTTGCTAAGACCGCAGTGTGCACAGATTTTTACAAGAGACAGTGATGGACATTCTATGTGTTTTCGCTGGCAAGGAACAGAGCAACTGTGGGGTGATTTGTCTGTTGTGAAGCTGGAACTGTTATTTCTTCATTACCGGCACAAAAAACCCTTATCTGACAAAGCTAGGTATCCAAACCACAAAAGTTTACAGAAAAGATGAGTGATAACCAAAAGACAACAATGCTTCATGTAAACAATTTCCAATCCTTTACTGAGATTCAAACCCAATACCTTCAGGGCCTAAAGTGGGTACTACAACCTCTACATCACACCTCCCGCTCAGAAAAAAAATTAATACAATGATTTTTACACAAAAAAGACACACAGCTGGTAACAGATGCCAGGGCACACTATATGATGACCCTTTGAAAATAAAGTGCGTTCGTTCGTTCAGTCCCTACGATGCTGACGTTCTAAATGTTGAATTGAGAATTGACATCATAGCCTTTAGGACACCCCCATAAGCGCCCTGTCCCCATCTTCAGCAGCCTGCGAAAAGTTCTAATTCCGACGGCACCAGTAAATGTCTGATTATAAATTTGTCTCACCCTTCCCTTGAGTGTTAAGCGTCAGACAGATCTCTTGGTAACTCCCCACATCGCCATTCTCCTCAGACCGTAATGATCTCACTGTGCCTTCGTACTGTTCACTCGCTTCCAAAAGGCCTTCACAATATCTAGCTTGTCATACATCAATTCACCACCAAGTGGTACATAGCTGGCTAGTGTATCTGCCTGCTCATTTCCCAACTCACCGGCATAACCTGGAGAAAATATCCAATTGACGTTAACTCTGAAGTGATACTTGCCACTCTGCACGCTGCATGCCTGTCTCCACCTTTCTCAACATGATCAGTGATTCAGTTACAATCACGTAGTCTACAATGAACCCGCTACATAGAAAGATTTCTTCAAAAAACCATTTATTAAACTATTTTCGCAGTCCCTATTCTCTTAACCCTGGTACAGGAGGTTTAAGGATAAAATTATCTGATTAAACAACAACTAAATCAACATTAACTAACAGCCGTACTAAAACAGCTACAGAAGAAACCCTCTTTCAAAAGACCGGTAGGGAAGACGAAAATAAAAGTTCACAACATAAATGACTCTTCTTTAACAACCGACAATTTGGTCAGAGGCAAAGCATAAGCAAAGACACGCCAAATGAAATTATTCCAAACGCCGTCAACAGTTCAGCTTGTCTACAACTAGTTTCATGCTAATGTATTTTCATTTTGTTTTCACATTAAATGTATTCCAGAAGCGCCATGAATGGTCTGCATTATGCGTTCCCACTAAATGTCTTTTTGAGTTTACTGTAAACGCTCTGAAAATTACTAAATGACTTGCTTAATGGTGTTGGAATATCTAGTCTTGGGTTTACTATTTGTTGTGTTGGCTCTAATTCGTAACACTTACAAAAGTGTCTTTTAACAAAAAAAACGCTATCAAGTTTGGTTCCATCTTCATAAACGTCGTTTTACAAACAGTGTCGCCAAGTTATGTCTGCTCAGACTCAGCACCATGTCTTGCCAACTTGTATTTTCCCCTTGGAATTAATCCACCCGCTCATCCTGTTTCTTGTCACATACACCTCCTCTTTGTCACACTGGGTTAGAATCTGCTGGCAGTGAATAGCAACTTTACCACAACACGACCTAACCCCCTCCCAACTCAATGTACCCCATATTAGAGGGGACTCATCAACTCGCGTAAAGTCGCCCTATACCAGGCACAGGCATGTTAAACTGAGGCTACCCCAAGGGAGGCATGGTAAACATTTGTGAAAAATATCATCAGGGTAAAAAAAAATAACGAAATTTAAGAAAGTTTATGTATCCTTAGTGCGGACCGCAGGTGTGCTTGCAAAAGGGTCAAATACGGTCCGCGTGTCTGCTCTATACTTTGCCGTCGCGTGCAGCTCATTCCATTTATTTTTTAACTGACAGTCTTTAATTCTCTTTGGGTATTCACCCCCCCCCCCCCCCCCCCTTATTATTTCGGTTATTTCCTTGCTTTAGTGAATTGATCGATCGATCTTTATGTATGACTGTTTGTCTATCTATCTGCATATCAGGACTATTCAAGTGACGGTCCAAAGGCCAAATCTGGGCAGTGGTAGTCTAAGAAGTGACACGTGGATCATTGTCAGTTTAAGTGTACTGTTGATCTTTCATCGCTGGGGCTCAGGCCTGTGTCCCGTGACGATCCCTATTTTCAAAATGTTAACCCCTGAGTCAACTAAGTTGAATAGCCCTCCTGTATATGATGTGCTAAATCTTAAAATTATAAAATGCCTCTCCATAGATACGAACTTCTAGTACCTATAATGCACGCAACCGTGGTTTCTCAAATTAGATAGGACAATGACAACCCCACTTAGAGACAGTACTTTAGCACTGGCTGTGGGAACGATCTTATTCCGACAGATGCAAGCACGCCTCTGTGCTCACACCACCTGGCTCTAGACGCAGACTTAGAGCAGTCTAATACAATTTTACGTAGAAAACACCAATAAACTCTTCGCTGACCCCCGGGGGGCTTCAATATAACGAAGAATTGCATCCTACAAGGGGGCGACGGATTATGGCAATTTAAAAGAGTGCTTTACGCTTTACGAAAGGAGGCAGGAGTACCGAGTGTTAATGCGTAACCAATTTATTCAGTTGCAATTAAAATGTACATTGTTTATGTTTGCAGTAGTCATGCACACGCATCATTCCTGGTTGTCATGGGAATTTTGTATTTGATATTTTAGGGTTATCTTTATTAATTGAGGTATACAGTTTTGTTAAGAGTATATTTCATTGCTTGTTAACTCCCCTTCTGGGATTTAGTTCGGATACTTTCAAAAGATTGTGAAACAAAGGGAAATAACAGAGAATGATAATAAGGGGTAGCTAGAGGAGAAGAACAGACAAAAAAGATGACCTTCTGACTTACAGGGAAGACAGGAAAGAAGAGACGATACTATACAGCACAGAGACCCCAGCAGGTATCTGGAGCAAATGCAATGGTAGGTAGAATGCTCCACTACAGACACTAGTGCTAAACTAATGCTAAAACAACAACTACTAGCTAATTAAACCACTAGCCCACTCTGGCTCATTATAATCCTTCCCTCTGATAATTATCCAGTTTCGTTCTTTTCAGGACGAAATTTTTTGTCATTTGAAGCCCTACTCTGGCTTTTGCCAGGGGCCGCAATATAGGCAGGCCATAAATATGGCCAAATGTCTGAACGCGGTTTCTGGGACCTCTCCACGGCGATCCTCACCCGCATGGTGGCACTTTGTGTCATCGGGTGTTTATCGCTTGTGTGATGTCCTGGTGGGGTAGAAAGTCAGTCAGTCAGTCATCCTTCCCTCCATTTAAGGACGAAATTGTTTGTTCTTTGAGGCCCCATCCTGGCTTTTGCCAGGGGTCGCAATATAGCCAGGCCATAAATATGGCCAATTGTCTGAACTCGGTTTCTGGGACCTCTCCATGGTCATCCTCACCCACATGGTAGCACTTTGTATCATCGGGTGTTTATCGCTTGTGTGATGTTCTGGTGGGGTAGAAAGTCAGTGAATTAAAAATACCAATATTTCTTTAATTGCTCGAAAATCAAATAGGTATACAAACTACACTATAAGTGCACGCGACGCAATACAACAAAGCCACTCTAATTATTACAAATAATGAACCTTTAAGGTTTAAGGGAAACACTAGCCAACTAACTATTCAGAAGACAATTAGGGAGAATGCAAACCCCAACCTACAAATCTAACCCTAGCATAAAAACCAGAACGGCTGTGTAAATCAGCTCTCAGTTTTGCAAAAAGCTCGTCGACATGGTTAGGTCTCACTCGTCTTCTGATAAGTCCCCATGTGGTCAGAAGATGCCAAAAAGACTCAACTTTCCCTTTTCTCAGCTGAAATTCAAGGCTGATGATCTCGGCCTCCTATGCTGCACTTCCGGGTCAGATATCCCAGAATGCACCACAGTGCCCTTTGTGCCTAATAACGCTAACAATGCTAGGAAAATACTAAATCATTACTTATTTAACCAGTGCTCCCGAGCATCTGGTTCAATATAAATCAAAGGAGTTTGTAATATATATATATTCTTTTGTAATATTATATTCTTTTGTAATATGCATTCTTCTTCTTCTTCTTCGCGTTCACCGGTTGTAAACTCCGGTGGAAAGTTCTGGTTGTTCCAGAACCTGAGCTGTGCGTGTAAATTTGTTTACACCTCCGGCTTATTTGAATGTAGACGGTTGGTTCCTCAGAC